TGGCAGACCTAAAGTAGACGTAGATGGGAAGGTAGTATCAGAATTTATATATATTGGAGAGCGGGTGTGAGGGTATGGACTGGATTCAACTGGCTCACGATAATTTCAGTGTTGGATTTTTTTTTGTGAGCACGGTATTTAGTTTTCGGGTTATATAGGGCTACATAGCGGTGAATTTCTTGACCAGATGAATGACAATCAACTTTTCAATTCATGCCTAGTCTTGTATAACCCAGGCCCTAGACCTTCCCTGTCCAACGCGGCGCCCTCCGTAACCACATATAATTGAGCCGATTTTTAATATTAATTCAAATTGTAAGACAAGAGACATTTTTGAACGTCTGGGTACTGTTAAATATTTTCGAAAAAATTTATTATTATTATTATTATTATTATTATTATTATTATTATTATTAGTAGTAGTAGTAGTAGTAGTAGTAGTAGTAGTAGTAGTAGTGTGGTGACGCCCGCACCTCCATAGGCATCAGTGAATTGTGTCCGAGTACATAAGAAAGTTGGACAGCACTGCCCTAGACCATAGACGACTAATTCGTTCAAAATTTATTACAGATACACGCACATGCACAGGGCATCAACGCCTTGTCTTTCTCACGAAACAAGAAAAGCTGGCTAGAAACCATAAGACAACAACTAGACAAAATATGTCTTATATATTGCCTTCATTATATGACTCGGTAAATTATGAACTCCGAACTACTCGGAAGATCATTTTTTTCTTTGCCTTTTAACGATTGTGAACTGAGAGTTCATTAGCTTCGTGTGACCAGTCATAAATGATGACATAAATGATGACTTACTATTCAAGTAGCAAATGTAATTTACATATGATGGATGATAAATCGAAAAGTACTTTTCTCATGGAGACATACGTGTAAACGTCTCTGCTGTAATACTGACGTCAGATATTAACGCAGTAGACTGCGAAGAGCGAGAATGGTGATTCAGCGGATCGTTTATCACTGGTGACAACTCATGTCGCTTAGGAATGATGATACTGTTGAATATGCTTCAACGGGTCTCTGAAACCTTTCATGAATGTGCGTATAACTTACATACGCGTTCCAAATTTGTATTACAGTTCCATCTTGCAGACAACCTCTGTGGTCTAGTAGTCAGAGTTTCTGGCCACATATCCAGAGGTCCCGGGTTCCATTCCCGGCGCTACCAGATCATCTGAGAAGTAGTGGGTCTGGAACGGGGTCCACTCAGCCTCGTGAGGATAATTGAGGAGCTACTTGAATTGAAAAGTAGCGGCTCCGGTCCAGAAAATTGAGGTTAACGGCCATGGGATTCCGTTGCGCTGACCGCGCGACACCCTCTACCCGCAAAAATTGGTACTATCTTCGCCGACAAACGGCGGTTGCTCGGTCGGTATAGTTCGCTTGTGGGCTACAAGTCACGGAGTTTGTTTTGTTTTGTTCCATCCTGCAAACCAGACTATTATGAAGATTGTTCTTGCTCATGTCGATTCCGATCCGTATATTGTATAGTTAATTAATTTTTAATTCCTGTTAAACTCATAACTCAGGCACAATAATTTATTCTAATTGATTCTGTTATTTTTAATGAAGAGTTTTGGAGTTTATGTGAAACGACTTTATGTATTAGAACATACCAACGTATAATATAGGCTGTGTATCAGTTATGCGGTCCTTGGAAGTTATGTTTTGGAAATAGAAACAAATGAAGAACAATTGTTTGTTTCACTTTAGTGAACAAATAACACAAAAATACGTGTAGTTTCCCGCTTAGGAATATGGCGACTCTTCATGATTTAACTTCATATTGAACCCAAATTTACGTGAAGTTTAACTTAATACGTAGTAAATAAGTAGGCGTAAATTTCTGAAATTTGTACAAGAAATTTGACATCTCAGTATTTCGTGCTGTCTGCTTCGCGCTTGTTTCTTTCATGGCTTATTCTTCGACCCTAAAGAAGAAGGCGACGTGCTCGTCTGAAACATGCTGGCTTTCAAATAACTACGCGGCGTTATTTTCCAGAAGACAGCCGTTTAGTAGCAGAGGAAAATACGTTAATTTCACGCAATGATTATTAGAGTAGGTTATCAATTTTGTCTGCGTTAACTTTTCAAATTGTGCCTGTTGATGTCCAGATTTTCCTTTTCAGAAGAAAGACAGAAGTAGCAGTAGACTTTGTATTTGAACTGAACTCACGTTAAGTGACCTACCAACCGACCTATCGACAGACTGAACATCTGACTAATCCTGCGGTAAAGAACGTGAAGGTTCATAGTCACTAATACGGAAACCTTCGTTCGACGTGACCCTGAACCAGTTCTATAGTTCTTGTGCTCACTTCTCTAAGGCCTATTATTGTATCCTCCTATTTCAAAGAGGGTTCTCCACCCAAATTCTGTGCGTATTTTCGGTCTCCCAATCCTAGCCACATAACTAATTCATCGTACCCTCCTAGAGTGTACTGTCCTAGCAGTAAAGTAAAAAGTAAAGCTATCCCTGTATCAGGTCGTGAAGGCCCATAGGGCTGTGAGACGTTGAGGGTCACACATTATCTAGACATTCGGCTCAAAGATGGCGGGCGGTAAGGTTGTCAGCCTTACGCGCCGGCCGCGCTTCACTCCCCAGGAAAATTAATTAATTCATGGTACTCATTTCTATTAGAGGCTGAGTGGACCTCAGGGCCATAGTGCTGCTGGAAGGATTAGGTCAATTGAAAAACATCTCATGACCTCATCGGGACTTAAACCCGCGACCTTCCGACTTGTAGCATAGTGCCCCACTGTCCTAGCAGTGTTATGAAATTCATTTTTTGAGGTAACATAAATTGCTTGCTTAAATCATCGCTCTTAGGTCCTAATATTTTCCTGAACATCACCTTGTTTCAGCCCATTATGAATTGGACAAGCAACGAGTAAACATCTGCCTATTGGAACTTAGTTTGACACCTCATGCTTACGTATTATCACGTGTTTATGACTGCGTGACTAATAATAACTGGTTTTGGATTGGATTTATTGACACATTCTTTACAATCGTAATCACAATCAATTACAATAACAATAACTCGTAAGCGAACTTGCTCAGTTCTGATCTGGTCTGATCTCTCTGCATTGTGCTCTAACTAGACTGATTTCTCTTCTAGTCTTGTCTTCTACTGGCTTCTATTGCGACCGACTTGCTGCTTATCTGAACTGCCATATATGTAGCGCATCGGTTTTCAAGGAACTGTTTCTTGATCACTCGTTTACACGGAAACTTCTGATGATTGTACAGTGACGTGTTGGCTTTCAAGCATATTTCATTTTTGTAATCCATGAAGCGTGTTCCGTAACGAGTTCGTTTCCAAGAATCTACCTCCATGGAAACGTGTTTGTCAACTCGTTCGCTAGCAATGGGGCTACATGTCACAGTATCTTAGCTTTCTTGGGTATTCTAATTAAAACCTTATACAGTACTTCAATCCTATCAGAATTATAAGCGTTTATTTAAATCTATAAACACCTGATGTACTGATCCATTGTATTCCCATTTTTCTCCAATGAGCTATTTGTCGAATGCAGTGATATAGCTGATAGTTGACCTATTATGATGGAAAGCGGCCTCCGTAGTCTAGGGGTAACGTTCCCACCTCATGACTCAAGGTACGCGGGTTCAAACACGGCGGAGGTCGTGGAATTTTTAAGGGCGGAAAAATTCAGGGAACAAGTCCTCCGGGGGGGACTTTGAGCCGTGGGTCCCGTGTCGTAGGTTTACGGCACGTAAAAGAACCTCATGTCTCCAAAGGAGGCCACTGAGCTAAATTAAGGACATTTCCCGCCCAACAGTAGTCTCTAACACCTCTGGTAGATGGGGGAAGCATCGAGATACCTCTGAGCAAGTAGAGGCCGATCTCGCTGGCTGAGTAGGGACTGATGGTAAGCACCAGCACCGGTAGGGTAATAGAGGCTGGTAGAAGATCATAGGGGGACGCACAATAGATCAAACTGGTCGCGGTGCATGGGGAAACCCACCCCCTCCAATAATAATAATAATATTATGATGGAATCCACATTGATAGTCACCTATAAGTACGTTCACTAATTGTGATTAGCGTGCTAGAAGAATATTGGACAGAATTGTGTTCACACTAAGCAGCTGTAACTTTTCACTTTTCAATTTTCTAAACATTTTTTTCCATGTAGTGATGCAAGTTTTCTATTAAGTTTACTTTCGTGTGCATTTGGAATGTGGTTGACGAAATTACGTTTTGGTCCACCTTGAAGAAACAACTGGAGCTTGGGGTCCCTATTTTTATCGCCGTCCAGCGCAAGAAAATTGAAATCTTCGATCCAGGAACATTATTAATGTTTCTTTTCTACTACTACAACTACTACTACTTCCTCTTCTTCTCCTCCTCAGATTTGTGATGAATATATTTACAACTCTAGCTGCTGTGCTGCAGGAAAGTGCGTGTATTGACTTTTTGGTGCAGTATGATGCACTTTACGAAAAGTACTGAAGACAGGGAAGTCTTATAGTATAGCTTTGAGATATTTCTTTAAAAGTTACATCATTTAATCCATGGCCTGCTGGTTATGTGACTTCCGTGTTTAATGTCCGTCGGATTTCCAAATTTGAATCTGTCTCGAGTCTGCCGTACCTGCCGCGATGCTTTCTTAGAATTCTCCCTGTAATGTATTAAGTCACTTCGTGTATATTTTGTAAAACGTTTAGTTTTACGTAATGAAGTAATAGACAAGTGAGACGAGAAACGGAGTTACTGTAGTGTTAGTGGGTGAAGTCCAGTTAGGAACTAAAAGTGTACCATGTATATTAATTGATCTTTTGAGCGAAGGAAGCACATAAATTTAGAACATAATCAATCAGTTATGTAAACTACTTGCCACATATTGGCATGAACCTATTAGTATTTTGTTTCTACTGTACTTTAAACTGTGTACAGATTTATGTGTTTCGGTATATTAGCGGAGCCTAACTGTCATTAGCATAGACATACCTACCTTCTTTTCATAGCTATTTCGCCTATGAGCAGGATGATGGCCAAAATTATTCCTATGCCGACGATCAGGAATGCGGGTGAGATCTTTTCCATGTCGACACTCATGAACTGCTCTTTCATCATGCAGGGGGGCTTCGTAGCCAGCCATAATTGATCTTGATAATTTATTATACCACTTTGGATTACTTTTCGCATACTGCAACATGACAGATATTTATCTATGTGTAAATGCAGATGTAAAGGGGATGTAATTGCACTATCGTCGTCACTGTTCTTAAGGAGCTACTAGTCTTTCAGCAAAGTAAGACATTCTTCGTCTTGGAACTCTAAGATTCATTACTGTGTTCACGGGCCTGGGCCACTGAACATTAATACAAGCCATGTGAGTCCAGTTGACACCGACACGCCACATTCCTGTGAGATCCAGTATCTTCCCATTATGCCCAGGTCTCCTACCCTCACTTACTGATATTGCTACTATTACTGTNACAGAATCATTGACATCTGCAGCAAAGATGTTTTGCTAGCTCACATCATAGTTTAAAGACCAGTTGTTTGATGTTGAGTTTATTCTATTGTATTCAGGTTTTATTCTTTATATTTGAATGTTTAAATGTTAAGGGAGGAGCATAGACTGAGGGTGTTTGAGAACAGGGTGTTGAGGAGAATATTTGGACCGAAGAGAGATGAAATGACAGGAGGTTGGAGAAAACTGCATAATGAGGAGCTTCCTAACTTGTACTCTTCTCCAAGTATAATTATAATGATCAAGTCAAGGAGAATGAGGTTGGCAGGGCATAGCACGAATGGGGAGAAGAGGAATGCATATAGGCTATTGTTTGGAAAGCCAGAAGGAAAGAGACCACTGGGAAGGTCAAGGCGTAGGTGGGTGGACAATATTAAAATGGATCTTAGAGAGATAGGATGGGATGGTATGGATTAGATAGATCTGGCTCAGGATAGGGACCAGTGGAGGGCTCTTGTGAACACGGTAATGAACCCTCGGGTTCCATAAAATGCTGGGAAATTCTTGAGTAGCTGCAGAATTGGCTTCTCCTCAAGAAGGGCTCAGCTCCATAAGTAAGTAAGTAAGTAAGTAATCTGAATGTTGTTCTTGTCATCTGTAAAATTTCGCTTAGTGGAGGGTTGGAGTCCGACTCGGTCCACTCGGCACGGCGGCCACTGATTGGCCTATTGTAGCCTGCCCCGGGTGATTATGATGATTGAGAATTTGGTACAGGGGAAACCAAAGTACTCGGAGAAAACCCGCCCCAGCGCCACTTTGTCCAGCACAAATCCCACTTGACCAGACCCGGGATCGAACCCGTGTCGCCGCGGTGGGAAGCCAGCGACTAACCGCTTGAGCTATGGCACGGCCGTTGTCATCTGTACATCTTATTGTTTGTTGTAATTTTTATACCGTGTCGTGTATTCAATGCGTGCCTGGAACCTTCTTTCTGTTCTCAAGCATTTTCATAAAGAAGGTGAATTGATTTTTGTCATTAAATTTATCCTTTTTAAAAGCAAAGCATGTCATTATAACTTCTCTGCCCTTGTTTCTTCCTAATCGTAAGAAGTAAACCTATATTACAACGAAAAATAAATACTTAAATTGCTGTAATATCGTTATTGGTCATTTACGAATTGTTTGTAATGGTAGGTTCGAATTCTGATAAGGATAGAACAGTAATCTGGAAAGGTGTGCTTTTTCTTCTATATTTCATACGCCAATCGCGAGATTCGTCGAGATATCTCACGTAGTGAGTATATTAGGCCACAGGCCGGCCGTTAAGCAAGTGAAGCATTTGTATATCTTGACGATTTCACATATGTGGTGGGAAGCAGCTATATCTCGGTTTTAAAACACCTTTTTTTTTGTAGTTATGAATATTGACGCGTCGCATAATGAACTGGAAAAGTTAATGGATCTATTTCTATGAGTAGCTTTGAAAGACAGTGATGTAATGTATCAAATTTTAGACACTATTTGGTGATGAAATACTTGAGTGGTTTGCTGCCTTTAAATGTGGTCGGACGTTTATGGAGAATGATGATCGGTCGAATGGCACGGTTCTTGAATGATGACATTTTGTGAAGTTTGCAGTATGAATCCCTATTTCGAAAAGTTTAATTGAAGTAAAACAAAAATTATCTATAAGATTTGAGGTTTTCACGGCGGTGACTATGAAGAATACCGTTTTCTGGGATGTGGCGCCCTTTAGATGTTGTGTTAACCGACATTTCGGGGGAACGTATCGCTTCCATCTTCAGGGTCTAAGAAATCCGAGAGTGATGAACCAGCATGAGTAAGTGCCTGCAGACTACCCTATAGCCATCTCATCAGGCTGGTTCCTCGCTCGCGGATTTCATATACCCTGAAGATGGATGCGTTGCGTTCCTCTGAAACGTCGGTTAACACAATATCTACAGGGCGCCACATCCCAGAAGACGGCATTCTTAAAAATGTTTATATATTACTTGTATAAACCTGTCACAGATTATAAATACAATTACCACTTATCACGTATAAATACATCAGAGATCATGATTTGCAGTAAAATTCCCTGGAGGTATTTTGAAGAGATAGTTGTAGTTGTAGTTGTAGTTATCTGCTTAGGCGAAGAGCTGTTTGTTATACTTACGCTATTGCAATGGCTTCTTTATAGGGCGAAGCCCACGGTAGAGCAACGTAGCAGTATTCAGGAGGGAAAATTACTACTTCAGTGAGCTCACACTTCTCTTCCTCGGTGTAAGTTTCCCTAATTTGAGGATATACTTTCATAGGCTCAGTGTGGAATGCGAAATATTCTTTCCTCATCTTGAGGATAGCAACATCGCGCTTGTAGTACGGTGTGTTTGGTGGCGCCATCTTCTTCTCGTACAGTTCGTGAACCAGAGGATCGGGGTTCAGCTGAAGGATAAAGTAACATCATTAAGCATGAAACAGAACGTGCTCTCAGTTAATTGTGTGCTGATTGATAAAGCATATTTATTACTTTTTATTATAAAAGTTTGCCTGCATGGCTTGCTCTTTCTGATTGATCGATGCATTATTTAAATACGATCTTTGAATTCAGAGGACGTTGGGAGTCGAATTGTTGTATGTGGTGACACCTGGTATAGATTGTTGTATAAGGTATGGTGTTGCTTAATATAAACTGTTGGATATGTTAATACCTATGTGGTATATGGGAATACATAGTATGTAATGAATTGTTTTATAAGGTAACTGATATATGTTATATGGTATATTGTAATATGAGGAAAAGACTGTATCTTATGGATACCTAGTATGAGGAAACGATTGTACCAACAGGAAGTATCAACAGATTAACTTCAGGAAAGATCCCTTCCTGTTGATACAATCGTTTCCTCATGCTATGTATCCATAAAGTACAGTCTTTTCCTCATATTACAATATACCATATAACATATATCAACCTTATAAAACAATTCATTACATACTATGTATCCCCATTTACCACATAGGTATTAACATATCCAACAGTTTATAGTAAGCAACACCATACCTTATACAACAGAATGATATGCTGAGTTTGTGAATGCTGCACTGGAAATGAAGAACCTCAACCACGATAACCGGTTTCTGGGCTGAGATTCGAAACTCTGAAATATGGACCACGATGCTCAGTCCATGTTTACCTGGGCTTCTCGAAAATTGGCCTACCAGTATACTGATAAGTATGAGTTTTATGAAGAAA